CCCCTCCCCTGCCACTGAGCACTGCTTTCAGCTGTGTCCCCAGAGCCCAGGAAGAGCTCTGGGGCAGGGGGCTAGGGGAGAGCTGGGGGAGTGGTGCTGCGGGACAAGCGAGAGGTGCTGAGGGGAGGGCTAGGAGCAAGTGCAGGAAGAGGCGGGGGTGGATGGGGACTTGGGAATGGGGTGAAGGGGGGGGTGGAGCAAGGGGAATGGGACAGTTAGTGCCTGTGGATGGTACTTTCAGTCCCACTTACAATTAAATCTGTGGGCGTCATGTTAGACTTTCCTGCTTTCCCACGTCTTGCGTTGAGCCCTTTAAGTTTCACCTGCCCGTGCTTCCTGGCTTTCCAATGTTTCTAATTCCCTCCCCCACCCAATTTAGTTATTGATACGTATCGATAGCCCCTCACTCTTCGCTTAATGTTTTGTCGCCACGGTGTAACAATAATCCGTCCCCCTTTTATAGCAACTTCCCCAGACAAGACTCTCTGAGGGCCTTGAGAATATTAAACGTATGAGCCAGTCCAACCTGGCAGCACCTCAGTGAGACAGACGTCATCCTCTGCGGGGTAAGCCAAGGCATGGAGACATGCCCAAGGCCACCAAGGCAATCAGTGGCAGAGTGGGCATTTCTGACGCCTGCTGTAGCCTGCAGACCAAGCGCTTCCCATTGTTCATTGGGAGGAAATGTTCTGCTGTCAGTCGGTGCCAGACACAAAGCTGACCTCTGCCACGAGCAAAGGGACCGGATTTCACACAGACAAGCCCTGCACTGTAACGGCCAGGGCTCACCTGGCGCTGTGTGACAGCCTAGGAGAGAACAGGCTATGGAGAATCACACCTCTCTTTTCCCGTGGACCTAATCCCTGAAAGTCAGGTCTTAGGGGCAGTAAGAGCCCGATCCAAAGCCTGCTGCAGTCAGTGAAAATCTTTGCATTGGCCTCAGTGGGTTTTGGATCAAGATGTAACTAGGCAGAAAGCGGACATAAGAGCGGCCAGACTGGGTCAGACCAAAGATCCATCCAGCCCAGTGTCCTGTCTGCCAACAGTGCCCAATGCCAGATGCCACAGAGGGAGTGAACAGAAGAGGGAATCATCAAGGGATCCCTCCCTTGTCACCCATTCCCAACCTCTGACATTCCCAGCTTCTGACAAAGACTAGGGACATCACTCCTACCCATCCTGGCTCATAGCCGTTGATGGCTCTAACCTCCATGAATTTATCTAGCTCTTTTTTGAACCGTTAAATTCCTGGCCTTCATAACATCCTCTGGCAAGGAGTTCCACAGGTTGACTGTGTTGTAAAACAACATTTCCTTTGGTTTTAAACCTGCTATTTACCAGCATGGCACCTTAGCCTCTCAGGATAGGCCAAGAAGCAATGGGCTTAAGCTGCAGCAAGGGAGCTTTAGGTTGGACATTAGGGAAAACCTTCCTATCAGGATGGTTGAACACTGGAATAAGTTGCCAAGGGAGGTGGTGGAATCTCCATCTCTGGAGCTATTTAAGAGCAGGTTAGATAGACATCTATCAGGGATAGTCTAGACAGTTCTTAGTCCTGCCATGAGACCAGGGAACTGGACAACCGCTCAAGGTCCCTTCTAGTTCTAGTGTTTGATGATTTATTAGAAACGATTCATCCGAGGGCTTTGGACCTACAAGCAGGGACTAAATCCCAGCTCTCCTAAGCAACAGGCTAGTACACGATCCACTGAGCCACACTGCTTATCTTTGGGCTTTTCTTGCTACTGCCTCCCTGGTACCTGATCTCTGGCTACCTCATGGATGGTTCTTCCCGGGCCCGTAAATGGAGAACGTCTCACCTGCAGGAAAATCACAGGGAGACTGTAAAAGACGTGGGTTGTTTTAAGATCCCCATGCAGGAGGAGCTGCATGAAAACCGATTTCAGGGCCAGACGTGAAGAAGGGACGGTTTGCCAAGCTGTTGTCTAGGGGGCCGAGCCATCCCCGGACGAGCGCCCCCAACTGGGCAGCACGGCCCGTCAGAATCTGCCATCCCCATCTCGGTTTGGGCTCAGGCATTGTTTTAATCAGCCACCCTCCAGCTGCCTGGGCTCCTAGGGGAGGAGCAGCCAGAAATGGCCCACGTGAGCCGGTTTCCTTCCTGAGCGCAGAACTCTTCTGATGTTTCGTCGGCTCCCGGGGCCGGCGTGGGGGCTCCGGAGCACAAAAGCAAAGTCCAACATGCCAGGGCGGTGCTGGGCCCAGAGGCGGTGGCTTGGCACGCTGGAGTCTTCTTAATCCCGGAGTCTTCACCGTCGCACTGCAGCTCGCCGGCCGTTCCGCGGCACCTGGCCCCACAAGCTGCCCACATCCTGGCCCCACGGATCCCCACATGCATCCCTGGGACGGTGGTGGAGATAGGCCCTAAAAGAAGCTGGAGACTGCTGTGGGGCTGCCCTCTCTTCCCTGCCCCTTATTTCAAGGCTGTGTCATGGCTCCTCTCTGTGCCCCACTGGGAGGGGGGTGGGCCTCTGGCCCCCAAGGTCAAGCTGTGTTGAAATGTTCCACCTCTCCACCGGAGACGGGCTGTTTGGATCGGCTCCCTGGCACAACACTCAGCCCTGGTCTACACTAGGGGGCTTCGTCTAGACTGGCAGGATTTTCCGGAAATGCTTTTATCGGAAAAGTTTTCCGTTAAAAGCATTTGCGGAAAAGAGCGTCTAGATTGGCACGGACGCTTTTCCGCAAAAGCACTTTTTGCAGAAAAGCGTCCGTGGCCAATCTAGACGCGCTTTTCCGCAAAAAAGCCCCAATCGCCATTTTCATGATCGGGGCTTTTTTGTGCAAAACTAATCTGAGCTGTCTACACTGGCCTTTTTGCGCAAAAGCTTTGCGCAAAAGGACTTTTG